CCCCCCCCCCCCCCCCCCCCCCCCCCCCGCGTGGCCAACACCGCCGCTGTCGGCGTCCACTCGCCGGAATTGGCCTCCCTTGGCCGATTAATTCGTGGTAGTTCTTTTCCTTGTTTACTCTTTCGTTTTATTCTAACTACTGTCTGTCTAGTGCCACGTTTTAGTAGAGCGAAGTATACGACGAGGTGAAATCCGAGTGGAGGAAGATCGAAGAATCGAATAATCGAGGAGCAGCCCCGAGCCGACGACACACGCGCCTTCACGCGCCGCCGGAAGACAGCGCGTGAGCCACACGCGCCGCCGTAGCTCACACTGCCGTTGCTGCCGCTTCGCCGTTGCTGCCCCGGATGCATGGATTGGTTTCCGTGGCAATCTAGCTTCGTTTAGTGCGTCTACCTCACGCTTCCAGAGGTAAAGTTTCGAATCCATTGTCGTTCGATTCGGTTTTATTTAAATTAAATATGCATGTTCGTTTAGTAAGCATATTGTATGATTTTATGTGACTACATGAAATTGATTATTTACTGCGAGCATGATTATTCAATTTAACGCGAGCATGTTAGTTGATTTAGTTTCGATTAAATAATTCGCATGTATGTTGTTTTTAAGTTCGCTGGAAGCGCAAAGGTACGCAATTAATTGTTTTCCATTATCGGGCATGTGTTTAAGTGTTTTAAATTCGTTTAATTCGCATAAAATTTTTGTTTTCCGCTGCGTACACGTGTCTGATTCCCAACAATAGAATGCCAAGGTGTTTTTATCATAAATATGAAAAATTGATTATTTATTACAAGAATAAATGGAAAGACCACAGCCACAAGTTGGCTTGTTGGTCACCTACTCTAACATCAAGTATACCGGTAACTCGGTGTACCCCATCATAGATTGAACCATGTCCATCAAAGTTCGATTACGATGCTCGGACACTCCATTCTATTAAGAAGTTCTGGGCGGATGGAGATAATCCCGTTATCTTTAAGATAGTTTCAAGAATTCGGTGCTCAAGTATTCTCCACCGCGATCGGATCGCGGTTTCTTAATACTTAGCCCTAATTGGTTTTCAACTTCTTGTCTAAATTCTTTGAATATTTCAAAGTCTTCGGACTTGTGCTTCATTAAGTACAAGTAACCATACCTAGAGTAATCATCGGTAAAGGTTATGAAGAAGTTGAAACCATCCTTGGCACTAGCATTTAGTGGCCCACAAATATCCATATGGATCAAATCCAATAGACCATTGACACGCTCCATTTGCCGTTTGTAAGGCAACTTTGCCGTTTTTCCTTTAAGACATGATTCACAAGTTTCCAGTGAGTTTATATCCGTTTAACTGAACAATCTCTCACGAGCCAACTTGTTCATCCGTCTTAAAGAAACATGACCTAGTCTAGCATGCCAAAGTTGTGCTGGGTTTAAACTATCAACCTTACGTTTTATTGTTGAGTTTAAGTTAGTTGGAATTTCATTTAGGTCTAGTTGATATAGATTGTTTGTAAGTTCTTCTTGAGTAATAACAGTGTTACCCTTATAAATAACGCAAATCGAATTTTTGAAATAAAAAGAGTAACCTTTCTTATCCAAAATGGGAATAGAAATGAAGTTTTTAATCAAAGACGGAACGAATAAACGATTATCTAAAACTAAACTATAATTTAAACTTGTATCTAAGATAACTCTTACAATGGCCTCTGCAGCAACTCTTGCTCCATTCGCATTCTCAAAAAAACATCTCCATGCTTGAGTTTCCTACTTCTTGTCATTAGTTGCATATCATTACAAAGATGCGAGCCACAACCGGTATCTAATACCCATGAAGTAGTATTGACGGATAAGTTAACTTCTATGTTAAACATACCTTTTTCAGAACGCTTCTGATCAAGGTACACCTTGCAGTTTCAGCGCCAATAGCCTTGTTTTCCACAATGGAAACAAGCATCACCTTCTTGCTTGCCTTCATTTGCTTTAGGTTCACTTGACTCTGCCTTGCTCTTCTTTTTGCTTGGTTGGGAACTATTTCCCTTTCTCTTCTGAAACTTGGAACCATTCCTAGTTGAAGAAGAGGACCCCACTAGCAAAACAGGCATGTCCCTTTTTATGGTTGATTCATTAGAATTTAACATGCTAACCATCTCTTCCAAGTTTGTTCATGTTAAAGTTGACTATGAACGATTCATAGGAGCTAGGAAGTGAGAGGAGTAAAATTTCTGCCGTCAACTCTATGGGAAGTACAACATCGATATTCGCTAGCTTCTCAATAAGCGATATCATCTTAAGCGCATGCTCTTGGACCGAGGTCCCTTCGCGCATATTAAGAGACATCAACTCTTTAGTAGCTAAAAATCTCACTTCCCTAACATTCTTACCATAAGTTGTATCAAGGTGGACATTTATTCCTCCTCTTCCAGTGGCGAAAGTCTCATACTTTCTCACTAGCTCTGGCGACATGGCTGCTATCATATAGCACCTGGCCGTGAGGTCATCTTGCTTCCACTTCTCATAAGTGGCAACTTCCTCTTCGGTTGAATCATCAAAACGTTCATTTGGAGGGATATCATCAAGCAGATACGTACGCCCTTCGAGCGTAAGTACTATCCTAAGATTGCAAAGCCAATCTATGTATTTGTTGCCATTAAGTTTTGAGTCAAGAATAGACGCTAGTCGATTATTAGACATGACTACTGAGAAGATTAAAGTAGATAGGTATTAGAGATTGTTCGAATTAATGAATACAATAAAAAATTGGACTATATTATTTTTTATTGTTCCCCCACTAATTTTATCGAGTCCTACTTCCCCCTAGTGAACAAACGAGAAATCTAATTTCTTTAATGGGCTTTAGGTCCTACTAACGATAATGCAGTCCCAGTTGAACTACCCAACCACATTAACTTAGAAGGTAGATCAAATGAATCACATCTATATGTGACCCTAAAGATAGTTTACCTCACATTTGACAATGTCCCCAATGATATGACGAACATCATAGTCGTTATGTGTCAAGTCTAACCTACCAATGTGAGATGTTATTGGGTCGTTTCTCACCAAGTCCCAGTTGAACTAGCAAACTCAATGAGACCACCCTTTAACCTAATCTCCATCTTACGATGTCAACTAATTTATATCTTGCCCCATTAATAGCACTGTCCGCTAACACGGTTTGCCGCACTACAGTGAGGGGCTTCACATAAATTAATTGTTGGTAGAAGGAAAGAAGATAGAACGACAAACCAGTTCTTCTTTATAGCTTGATATAGTTCTCGGGGAACGAGAACGAGGGGATTTAGACAATAGTTATTGTGTCTCATTAGAATTCGTGTTTTAGATAGTTTGGGATTCCTTCAACTATGTTCTCTAAGGCATTCGATCTAAGTGCGATTAGGGAACATATTATCTAAGTTTGCTACTTAATTAATTCTATACATCACATGCATAAATAATTAAAGCGATTAATGCAAACAATAATTAAGCCCTTCTCAATCATAAATCGAGCAAATAAGATCGAGGCCTAAATTTTTTTATGTCATGTAATTTATTTATAACACATTATAATAAATCACATAATCATGAGTAATAATTAATTAACATATTAATCCATTAAACATGCATAAAAAAATATATTGGTAATTTTCAATTAATCATTAATTGAGCATAGTTGAATTTTAAATTTCGTAAATTAAAGTTCAATTAGGAAACTTTGACGAATTTGGAAAATATTAATAAATAAATATTTTATTCTTTTGAAAATAATTTCCAAACAAATAAAATTTAAATAAGAAAGTATTTCATTCTTTTGAAAAATATTTTCCAAACAAATAAAACTACGTTGAATTCACATTCAACTGTATATGTATACATATATATGTTCGTATGCATGGCCGAAAGCCATGCATGAATTTAAAAGAAAAATTTGTGTTAAGCCCGTACGTAAGGCTTTTGAAATCAGAGAATTATCTTTTTCTTTTTCCTTTTTTTTTTATTTAAAACAATTTTACAGAATTCTAATTCAATAAAATTGCTACTTTCCAATTCAATTACAAAAATCTCAGATTGGCTTCTTGATTTTTCGTCAAGACTCCTACTTACAATCAACATTAATCGAAACAAAACCAATCAATTTAATTCGCATACATTCATTCTATTCGAATTTAAACACATAAACATATCAATGTCTCTAATACCACTGTCGGGGATCTACATGTGAATTCTATGAACAATAAAATCATCAATCGAATTCTATGAACAAAAAATTCATCAATTAGGCATAATCTATTAGCATGCTTTTAATCATGTGTTTAAATAAATTCAAATAAAACATGCGAAACAAGTAATCATATAATCAAATAAATTAATCGTATTAATTAACGAGTTTCGATTACATACCCGTTAAACGTAAGCTCCTTAGAACACTGTCTTTGTGGTCACACCGAAGTCCTAAGTTGAGCAAATCCACGCCAATCTTCCTGTCAACCTTCTTCGCTGGAATCGGATTTCACCTTGAAGAGATTAATCTACCAATAGCTCGCACGAGAAAACTATTGGGCAAATATAGGTGAAACGTGTTTGACACAAAATCAGGCTTTATGTTAAAAGTAATTTGGAAGAAGAGAAAAGAGAAGAAGCACGTGAGAGAGAGGAGTGGACGTGAATTTTGTGGGTGTAGAAAAGTTGTCTTGTTGTCATGTCCTTTTCTCTACCCCACCACCTCTATATGTAGGGATTTATAAATCCTAGTCCAAGTATAATTCTAATTCACAATTAGAATTAAATACCCCAATCCTTATCTAGGAATGAGAGACCCATATACTTAAGAATTTTAGAACGCTTTCTTAGATTCTTAATATCTCTCAAATGGTTACTCTAACAATTATATTTTCGTGACGATCATAATTTTTTCGTCAATTCAAGTACCATATTGCATATCTTATATTTCGATTTTCGAAAACCTCTATTTCAGTGGTACCTGTTAAATTAGGAAATTCCAATTTAGAAAGTTCACTTGGTCAAAGTTCCCTTGTCTGTATCCGATACAGCTTCGTTGAAAGTTCTAGAATCACATCCTTGGTCAACTTCATCAACGAGGAATAACCTATCGGGCGCTCTCCGAACTCTTTCGGATCTACGCAGCAACGGTTCAGGAGGTATATTAGTGGTTTGTTGAATTGGTTCATTATCTGATTGTTGTGCTTGAACTTCAGATTGTAGTTCTCGAACTTCTTCGAGATCAACTACACTGCCCTTTCTATCCGATAGAAATTCCTTTTCAAGGAACACGGCATTTCTCGAGACGAACACCTTTGCCTCAGAAACATAGTAGAATTCGTATCCCATGGAATCATCGGGATACCCCACAAAATAGCATAAGTCGGATTTTCTATCCAACTTATCTCCCACTAACAGCTTCACGTAAGCGGGACAACCCCATATCCTAATATGTTTAAACGTGGGTTTCCTGGAGTGCCAAAGTTCATAAGGCGTGGAGTTAACTGCTTTGGTATTAACCCTATTCAGCAAATATACGGCAGTTAAGAGTGCATGACCCCACAGGTATGCCGGTAGCTTGGTGAACCCCATCATAGATCGAACCATGTCTAACAGTGTTCGATTCCGACGTTCGGAAACTCCATTAAGTTGAGGAGTTCCAGGAGGAGTCCATTGAGACAGAATCCCATTCTCTTTAAGATAGTCTATAAACTCAGTATTTAAGTATTCGCCACCACGATCGGATCGTAGTTTCTTAATACGTCTACCGAGTTGGTTTTCTACTTGGTGTCTAAAATCTTTGAATTTTTCAAAAGTTTCAGACTTATACTTCATTAAGTACACGAAACATACCTAGAATAATCGTCGGTAAAATTAACGAAGTAGTTAAAACCACCCCTAGCACTAACGCTTAGTGGACCACACACGTCTGAATGGATCAAATCCAAGAGACCCTCGGCTCGTTCCATCTTCCCTTTGAAGGGAGTTTTGGCCATTTTTCCTTTAAGGCAGGATACACAAGTTTGAAGTGATTTCACGTCCTCCAAGGAGAACAATCCTTCACTTACAAACTCGTTCATCCTTCTCAAGGAAATATAACCCAGTCGAGCGTGCCAAAGTTGTGCGGGGTTAAGACTTATATCTTTTCGTTTTGCTGATATAACGTTAATTGGTATTTCACTTGGATTTAGTTCATATAAGTTGTTTATAAGTTGTCCCTTACAAATCATATTTTGATCCTTTTGTATAATGCAAATCGAATTTCCAAAAACAAAAGTAAAAAGTAAAACCTTCATTATCCAAAACAGGAATAGAAATAAGGTTTCGAATAAGTCACGGAACAAATAAACAATTGTTCAAAACAATGGAAAAACTAGAATCCAAAACAGAAAGATAAATCGTCCCAATGGCTTCAGCAGCAACCCTTGCTCCGTTGCCCATTCTTAGGTAGGTCTCACCCACATTAAGCCTCCTACTTCTTGTCATGAGCTGCAAATCATTACAAAGATGTGAGCCACAACCAGTATCCAATACCCAAGAAGAAGATTTAACGGACAAATTAACTTCAACTAAATACGTACCCTTTTAAGAACGTTTCTGATCGAGGTAAGCCTTGCAGTTGCGTTGCCAATGGCCCTTCTTTCCACAATGATGGCAAGCATCATCAACTTGCTGGGTGACCTTGTCATTCTTCACTCCGCTCGACTCGCCCTTCTCAAATTTCTTGCTCGGACCGAAACTCCTTTCTTTCCTTTTCTTCTGGAAAGAACCTTTCTTCGCAGAAGGAGCAACTAGGAGAGCGGATTTCTCCTTCTTGATCGTGGACTCATAGCTAACCAACATGTTCCACAACTCATCCAATGGTGGATCGAGCTTGTTCATGTTGAAGTTCACTATGAACGATTCATAAGAACTAGGAAGGGACAGTAGGATCAAATCCACCGAGAGCTCGGCCGGGAGGGTGACATCAAGGCTCACCAACTTCTCAAGGAGAGTGATCATTTTGAGACCGTGCTCGTGGACCGAAGCCCCTTCACGCAGCCTCATGGTGATCAACTCCTTGGTAGCTGAGTACCTCGATGCCCTAGTATTCTCACTGTACATGCTTTCAAGATGATGCTTGATATCATAAGCATGCACGTGAGACTCATACTTCCTCGCGAGCTCTGCCACCATGGATGCTAGCATGTAGCACCTCGCATGGAGGTCGTCCTTCTTCCATGCCTCGAAAGTGGCAGTCTCGTCAGCAGTAGCAGCCGCAGGAGAGCAGCGGGGGACGTTCATTGAGCACATAGAGATGCTCCTCGACTTGGAGCACAAGTTTCAGATTGCGAAGCCAATCGAAATAGTTTGGACCGGTGAGTTTGTTTTGGTCGAGGATAGAGGAAAGGGGATGTTTGGACATTGTTGCTGAGAAAATTTTAAGAAGACAATAATTAGAGTTTATTTCGTAATAATCGTTACAATTAAAATTTTGGACTTTTATGTTTTAATTGTTCTCCCACTAATTTTATCGAATTCCACCACCCTCTAGCAGACAATCGAGAAAACTTATTTTTCTTTAATGGGCTTTAGGTCCAATAGCGCTAATGTAACCCGTAGTTAATCTATCCCGATAACATAAGCCTAAAGGTAGAGTACTATCAATCACATCACTATGTGACCCTAAAGTTTATTTTACCTCACACTTGATA